GAGCGGCCGGAGGGGTGGAGGATGCCTTGCGCGCCCCTGAGGTGCCTCGGCGAGCCACCCACGAGGTGTCCATCACCCTGACGCCCATGCTGGGGGGACACATGGAGACAGGCTCTCAGCACCAGTGCCGCAGCCCCGCTCCTTCGGGGTGCCTGGTCCCTAAAAACATCTCCAGCACCAGGAAGCTGCTGGGAATTAACCCCCATGGCAACAGGGGTGGGACACGCTGGTGTCACCCACCGGCCACCTCTCCCTTCCCCAGTGACCAGCAGGCACCAGCACCCTCCCAGCACCCTCCCAAGCAACCAGCCAGCCCCATCCCAGCACATTCCCAGCATCCTCCCAGCAGTGTCCCAGCACCACTGCAGAGGGTACAGTACCTTTGGATTTTCCTAAGGCTGCATGGGCAGAAACACACCATTATTAGTGTAAAAAAAACCCCTAAAACGACAGTGCACAGAGAAAGCCCCGGCGGTGCTTTCTGGAGCCCACCTCACTGTCTGCAGCCCCTCTGAGGTGGCATGGCGGGGGCACACACAGGCTGGGTGTGGGGAACTTTCCACTGGAGCAGAGCCCACAGACCTTGGGGACACCAGGGTACCTGACCCCAGCGTGGCACAGCCCCAGTGCCACATCACAGGCCACCCCACTGCCATCTCCAGCAGGCTGGGGGCAGGCACCAAGCCCTGGGCTCACCTGAGCACCCTCAAGAGCCCAGCACGGAGAGCAGGGGGTCCTCCACTCACCGGGACCACCCAACATCCACCAGCCCACTGCCACCCCCTCCCAGGGTGGTGGCAATGCCACCTCCTGCCTCTCTCCAAACCCTGGCACTGCAAAGACCCTACCCATCCTTCTTGTAGAACTCCAGCATCATGTTGTCCGTGGCCACGCTGAGGGGCCGCCGGGCCTGGTCGTGCTGCCGGCGGTCGGCGTGGTCCATGTCCGGGGAGGGCATGGAGCTGTAGTTGGCATTGTGGTTGACGTGCATGGGGCTGCCGTAGTTGCCTGTCACGTTGAACTCGATGTCTGGGGAGGGGGAAAGGAGAGGGGGGACACGCTGGGTTGTGTGTCCTCAGTGAGGGGTGGAGATGGGGGAGTATTACAGAATCCCAGAATCATCTGGGTTGGAAAAGCCCTTGAAGCTCCTCCAGTCCAACCATGACCCTCACCCTGACCGTTCCCAACTCCACCAGATCCCTCAGCGCTGGCTCAGCCCGACTCTTCAACCCCTCCAGGGATGGGGACTCCCCCCCTGCCCTGGGCAGCCCATTCCAACGCCCAACAGCCCCTTCTGCACAGAAATCCTTCCTCAGAGCCAGCCTGACCCTGCCCTGGGCAGCTTGAGGCCATTCCCTCTGGGCCTGGCGCTGGGGCCTTGGCTCCAGAGACTCATCCCCCCTCTCTGCCCCCTCCTGGCAGGGAGTTGCAGAGGGCCAGGAGGTCTCCCCTCAGCCTCCTCTTCTCCAGACTGAACCCCCCCAGTTCCCTCAGCCGGTCCCCAGCAGACCTGTGCTCCAGACTGGTACCACAGGAATGCCGGGGGGTTCTCAGAGTGGCTGGGTTGGGCTCAGAGTCTTGCCAGATCTCTGCCTGAGCCCCAAGCAGAGGGGGATGGCAAAAATAAGTACAGGCGCTCAGCCCCTGCTCCCCAGGGAGGGCTGGGAGATCCCACAAAGCCCATCGCACCCCTCTAGGGCACAGCCTACCTCCAGGGAAGAACCAGTCGGCGTGCTGGATGAGCGGCTCGATGATGCCCACGATCTGCAGCGAGACAGTCGTCATCATCTCTGTCATGTTCCTGCAAGGGGGAGGGCAGCAGCTCAGCAACCCCACCACAGCCCAGCCTTATTCTCAGGGGGATCCTGGCCCTTGGACCCTCCTCACCCCCATCCCCAGCATCCCTCTGGCACACTCACTCTCCACCTGGCTACCTTACCCATCCGCCTGTGGCCAGAGGAGGTTAGGCCCCAGCACGATGGCCACATTGCTCGGTGTCATTTTATTCGTGTCCTGGTACTCGGTCAGCTTGGCCAAGAATTTAATCAGGTACCTGGAGAGCAGAGCCAAGCCGTGTCGCTGTATCAGGATCACACCCTCCTCTCCAGCCCCTCCCCGGGTCCCACCAGCCCCGGGCTCACCTGATGTTGTTGTAGTTGGCTTTGGGCAGCTTCTCACAGGCGCTCCAGAGAGCCTGCAGCCGCTTCTCCTGCTCTGGGATGCTGCGGAGAGGTGGGTGAGAGGCTCAGCCCCTGTCCCCAACCTGAGGCCCTTGGGGACCCTGCGAGACCCTCGGGCTACCACCAACATTATGTAAGTAAATTAACCCCAAGTAATCCATCCAAAATGAGAAGGAAACCTTTCGGTGGCAGACCGCTGGTTCTCTCCCCACTCCTCCACAGAGTCCCTGAGGTTCGTGTTTCAGGGATGTGTTTGCTTTGGAACAGGACATTACTACAAACAGCTCCCCAAAACAACAGCCCACTCCCCCCCATGCCACCCCCAGGGACTGTCCCCTCCATTGAGCCACCACTGTGTCCCTGCCGTGCTCCAGCACTCCCAGGGCAGATGGGGGATGTGGTCAGACCAATATTGAGGCACCACTGAGGTGGTTCCCACCCCAAAAGGAGATGCTCCTTCTCCCACCTCCCTCTGCCTAACATCCCCATACCCCAAACATCTCCCACGGCGGAGCAGACATGATGGTGCCACCTCAGCTGGCCCAGTCCTGCTGGGCTTGGGGGTTCCATGGTGCAGAGCACCCCAGAAAAGCAGGTGAGAGCTCCCCTGGCCAGCTGTCCCCTGGGGTTTACACACCCGTCCAGAAATGACACCAGCGCCCAGCACCCAAGGGCTTGCTGGAAGGTGCTGGGAGAGCTCAGCCACCTTGGCCAGGGTGCTCTGGGGACATAAGGGTCAGGGGACACCAGGGCCACCCTCACTGCCGGGACCCACCATGCTCAAGGAACATCACAGGAACCCTCCCAGCTCTCAGATATCCCAAATGGATGTAAGCCATGTCAGAAATAACTCATGGCCCCCAAATCATCCATAAGAGCCCAAGATGCCACCATTCATGTCACAGAGGAATGAGGGGGACACTCCAGACTCACTTGGAGGCCTGGATCCACTCCTCGTACAGCTCGAACGTCATCAAAGGCTCCGGCAGCTCTCGCAGGTAGGACTTGAGGGCTCCTGCAGCACACAAGGGACACAGGGCTCGGCACTGCGGGTGGCACCAGCTAATGGGCACCAAGTGGTTTTGCTCCTCAGCATTTTGACTCTTATCCCTCCCGGCCTTCCCACATCACATCCCAAAGCACCCGCTAGTTTCCCTGGCTTGGGGGAGCCCATAGCATCCCCTGACCCCAGCAACCACCTTGCCACCTCCACCCAGTCTCTCTTAGCAGCCCCCCGATTCCCTCCACTCTTCTTGCCTCCACGCAGCATTCTCAGCTCTTCATCCCACGTTTTTGCCCAGGACATTTGCAGCTCCTCACACTGGGAAGAGGTTCCCATTGCAGTCAATAGGAAACCAGGGTCCAATCCTGCACCCATCGGAGAGACCAGCCCAGGAGGGGAGCAGCTGACTGGCATTTAAACCCAATTCATGCTTAATACCAGCCCCACGAGTTCAGATCTGTGCTTGGAGAGGGTCTCCACCCTGTTAGAGGTAGAGAAGATGGCAAGCTTGATGATAACACGTGTCAATCTTCTCAACTGCTCCCTGCTCCTGCAGAGCCTCTCCTGGTCAGTGTCACACTCATTAGTGTCACTCTCATTAGTGTCACCAGGGCCCCACTGCTGCCTTGGATTATGATTGCATCCCTGTTTTCTTCAACACCTGTGACCAAAAGCACTGCTCAAGCCCTTGGCCAGGGAGGGGATGTGTGGGTTGGGGTTTGTGCTCCTTGGTGGATGGTAGCTCCTAAACACCCCTAATTTCACCAAGAACTGTATTCCTTCACCTGTATTTGCCCCCCATATATTCTGTCTTTGATGTTAAAAGGCTCTGGGACAGATCACAGAAGGATTGAGGTTGGAAGGGATCTCTGAAGGTCATCTGGCCCAACCCCCTGCTCCAGCAGGACCACCAAAGCTGGCTGCTTGTGACTGTGTCCTGATGGCTTTTGATTATCTCCAAGGATGGAGATACTCCACCACCTCCTTGGGCAACCTGTGACAGTGTTAGGTCATCCCCACAGTGACAAAGTGTCTCCTGATGTTCAGAGGGAACCTCATGTGTTCCACACTGCCTCTGGTCCTGGCACTGGCCACCACTTGAAAGAGATCTGTCTTCTTTGTACCCTCCCTTCAGGTTTTTATATACATTGATGAGATCTTCCTGAGCCATCTCTCCAGGCCCTTCAGCATCTTCACAGCCCTTCACTGGGCTCTCTCTAGTACATCCATGTCTCTTGTGCCCAGGACTGGAAGGATCATCTCCCTTGACCTGCTGGCATCACTCCTCCCAAAGCAGCCCGACACCATTCACATTCAGTGTGCCACAAGGGCCCATTGCTGGCTATTTTGGTGGCCACCAGGACCCCCAGGGTCATCTCTTCCAAGCTGCCTTCCAGATGGGTGATCCCCAGCATGTCCTGGTGCCAGGGACTGGACCTGGCACTTCCCCTTGCTGAATGAGGTCTCTCTCAGCCCATTTCTGCAGCCTGTCCGTGTCCCTCAGGACGGCAGCACCTCGGGATGGCATCAGCCACTCCTCCAGCTTGGTGTCACCTGCCAACGTGCTGAGGGTGCACCCTGCCCCATCATCTGGGTCATTAATGAAGACGTTAATCAGGATTGGACCCAGTATCAATCCCTGGACTACACTGCTAGTTACTGGCTGCCAACCAGACTGGTGATCACTGGTGACCACCCTCTGGGTGCCCAGGGATGGTGCCTGGTGGCTGGATGGGCTGTCCCACATACCGCCAACCCCCCACCCTGAGGCAGCCTCTACCTGCGATGGCGTGTGGGTCAGCCGAGTACTCCTGCACGTCCACCACGCAGCAGTCCAGGGCGGCCTTGAGCTTCTTCAGCTTGGAGGCTGAGGGAGCCACTCGGAAGAGACCCTTGGCAGAGGACACGGGAGAGCGTTGGACAAGCTTTGGGGTTGGGGATGTCCCCAAAGCCCCCCCAGTTCCTTCTTCCCACCTTGGAGGTACCCATGTCCCCTTCCATGCTGCCCAACCGAGGGTGGTAGGACACGGGCCCTACCTCCTCCTGCATGCCGCACTCCAGCAGCATCGTCACGCACGCCTCCACGGGGAAGGCGATCTCCCGCCCGCTGACGGCCAGGTGCTCCTCCAAGGGCTTCCCGAAGGAGGGCTTCTCCATCCACGCCTCTGTGACGGGCAGAGGGGGTGAGAGGAGGGGGAGGGCACGGCGGGGACGGTGCCGGATCTGGCATCCCCTCCCCGAAAGGCCCTTGGATCACAGCGTTTCGTCAGCAAAATACTCCGTTTGGGTGTTGCTAAAACAACAGGACCCCGCACCTCTGTCCTGGGCAGCTCGGGAAGTGCTTTTTAAAGATGAAATCCAAACAAAATGTTTTCCAATCATCACACGGGACATTTCAAAGGGGCTGGATAACGTTTTCCGGGGGGAGCAATCACGAGCAAACCTTTGCAATATATTCCCCCTTCTTCCATCACAGTTTGAGGCAGGAATATTTTGTGGGATCGAGAGAAAAAAATAAAATACAAATCACTCCCTGCCTCGCTGCAGCTATGGCAGCACCCCGAGCCCTGCCCCGGGGAATGTGCTGTGACCTCTGTCTCCCAGCCCAGCTCCTCTGGAGGTCGCACAGTGCAAAGCCAAGCCCCAAGACCCCCCCTTGGCGCTGGGTTCCCACCCCTGGTGCTGTGCCTGATGGGGATATTCAGGCAGGTTTCACCTGCTCCCTGTGAAGCGGGCCGGATCCTGCCCCCTGTGACCGAGCGGGATGGAGATGCCCTCCCCAGCTTCGGGCAGGCGGGATGCAGCGGGGGCGAGCCCAGAGAGGATGCTGAGCCACAAACCCAGCACCACGCTGTGCCGCGGGGTCACGCCGCAGCCGGCTCATCGCCGCAGCAAAGCCCCATGTGGCTCCGGAGTGAGGCAGAGCCCTCGGTGTCGCATGCAGGAGCGGGACAGACCCCACGGGCACTTACCCTGCTGGGCTTTAATTTGAGGCAGGACATTCTGCAAAAGCGCTAAGGATTTCCGATGGTACTCTGCCTGCACCTCGATCAGCTGGGGGGGAGAGACAGCACCGGCTGTCACCCCTATGGCCGGGGACAGGGACCAAGGAGTCCCGTGGGGATGGGTGGCACTTACGGTTTGAAAATAGTTTGCATAGTCTACTTCTTTGGCCACAAAATTGTACATGTCAGCCGAGAGCTGGTCCTGCAGAGAGCAGAGAATTAATTGCCGTCCCACTCGTGCTGCCCTGATGCCACTGTGATGTTCCTTTTGGAGGCCACCAGGAGGGACCAGTTGGGTCACACCAGGAGCCAACATGCCACGTGGCATGTTGCAGAACCCGTTTGAGATGTGCTTGGGATGTTGAATATACAGCAGCACCAGCGGGGTTTGCTTTCTGCTGCTGTGCAAATGGCTCCACGCTTGCCTCCGCCTCTCCTTCCAGAGCCCACAATTATCCAGCGCTTTGCAATGAGCTCTCTGGAAGTCACTTGGAAGCAACCTGTCAGCCAAAGGCTGCACATCCCAGAGGGCCGCAGGGCACAAATTAAACCCCAAGTTTGCTCGTCCCAGCACCTTGTTGCATTGCTCCTCACATGCAAGTGGCTCATTAACCACAGGGCTAATTGCTGCTCAGCTGCTGGGGGTGGCATCCAAGCACTCGGTGCAGACCAGGCTGACGGGGCATCGGGTGCTTCTTGCTCTGAATTGCAACAAGCCCTTTGGCACCAGGACACATGTTTCTGTCCTCACACAAAACAGACTCTGCCAGTCCCCAAATTGCTCCTTTCTGAGAATCCCTTTGGATAACTCAACTGGAGGAGAACCAGCAGGTTTTTAAAACACTGTGGGCATGTCCCAGCTGCAACACCCATCATCCGTACGGTGAATATACTGGGGTAAGCTCCTGGCCTAGCTGGTTTGCTGAGAATTGCTGGGCACGTGGGGCTGCGATGCTCTGAGATGGGGGGACAGAGCATGAGTTTGAGGCTGAATTTTAAAGGCTACACAGATTCTGGTTGTGGGCCTGGAAAAAACCACCAGGATTTAAGACATGCACCCAGCTCCATCTCCTGCCCAAAACCTGTCCAAAACCTATAGCACAAGGTTCACCCAGCCCTTTGCATTTTCTGCCCCAGAGGAATATAAAAGCCACACAAAATTGCCTGTGGGTTTCACCACTGAATGCCACAGCCTGTGATGAAGGTGCTGGCAGCAGCGTCCCCCCTCGCTCAGACACTTTTCCCACCCAACACAACCAGCTGGGTGGCTTGTGCTCCCGTGGGATGGCGGGGGGTGGCATGGCCGGGTGGCACACGGGGGCTCAGCACTTCCCGCGGGTCTCTGTGCCAGGGGTGGGTGTGCTCGGTGCTGAGCTCGCCGGCTCCTGCTGGGACAGGTGCCCTGGGAAGGGAATGCTTTCTGCCTCCAAAGGGACATGGAGGATGGGGACAGAGGAACCAGTGACACCCTGCTTGGCTGGTGAGCATCGCCCACTGCCACCAGGCTGCGTCTGGGCAGGGGACCAGCTGAAGGAGTGTTCATCCCGGGCAATGGGGTAAGGAAGGGGTGAAGAACAGGGTAAGAGGAGAGGCTGCAGGTTTTCCGCTGTGCTCAGGACACCAAGATCCCCACACTCAGCAAGAAGCGATCCCCCCCGGCACCCCGGGTACCCTGCAAATCTCCACTCTGTTGGCCGCCTCCTCCATCTCCTCCCTGAGAGCATCGGCTTTGGCGCCCGAGGGCTGCAGGTTGCTGGCCAAACCCGAGGACTTTGCAGACTGCTGCCACCTGCACAGAGAGGGCAGAGCTGTCACGGCGAGGGATGGGGACCCGTGCAGAGCAGTGGCTGGATCCCAGCAGACTTGGAGGGCTGCCCAGGGACCCCCCTCAGCCAAGCCCACCATAGTCCCCAGGCTGAGCACTACAGAGATGGTCCCAACCCCAGCTGGAATGCCGAATCCACTCCCAACCCAAAACATCCCCAGTCCCCACAACCCGCTGCATGCACTGGGCTCTAATTATACAATTATTTTCAGCAGGAGAACAAGCCCCACCCAGGCAGGAGGAGAGAGGAAGGTGATGGGCGAGCCTGGACATGATGCTGGGAAGTACAGACGCCTCCCAGACCTCTACCCAGGGCATGCTGTCATGTGAGGGGCTTGGCCAGCCCAACGGCTCCAGGAAAAACCCAAAGCACAGTGTCTGGGACACAGGATGATCCCAAGGGTCATCCCAGCTCCACCCCAGCACTACTCTAGAGCAGCAGGAGCACTAGGCTCTTTGCTATCATGTAAGAACTCACCAAGATAGGGAAAAGAGGAAAATTAAAGACTTGTGCCAGAAAAAAATACTCTTTTCTGCAGAGGGCAAGCGAGGAAAAGGGATCTACGGTTCTGCAGACAAAAGCAGAAATGTTGGCTCATTGCAGAGCTTGACTTAAAGGTGAACAGTGACATGACTGAAACTTACTGTCCCAGGGTAGCTGTGGTACCCGGGCTCCAGGACATGCCCTCCCCAGCACTACCCATCGCTTGGGAATTTTTATTTTTTATAGAACAGCTTTGAAGCGGTTTCCTACCGTGTCCTGGAGGAGTCCATGTCCAGCACGAGCTTCGCCAAGTGCTTCCTCTGCTTTTGGATATTTGGGATTTCAACCTGCAGCAGCACATGGAAATGGGAGAAGATAAACACCTGTGGAGAGGTGTCAGGGCAGGTCATACCTGACTGCGACTGGTGCAAGCTGGGTGGATAAGGGTGCAGCTCCTTATTTTAACATCACTAGGGAAGATGGCACAGCTCGTCCCTCCTCTGTGTCCCCACCCGGGCTGTGCCACCCCCCGCCAGCCCTGACTGCAGAACCCACATCCCTGAAAGGAGCATCCTTGGGTGAATCAAAGCTTCCTGCAGTGGGGAGCTGGGTGAAGGCAGGAAAAGGGCTTTTGGGGATGGCAGTGCAAAGCCTCCCACACACAGGCACTGTTTGCAGAGGGATTTAGTAACGGTTGAAAGCCCTGAACACCAGCAGTGTGATAAAGCTTTTGTTTCTGCTGGGGAAGATAAACCCAGAACCAAGCCGAGGACAATTTGCTTGATGTAAAAGCAGGGAAAAAAGCATTGGGAAAAACTGAAAAAGAAAGATGGCAGCAAGGGGAAAAAGGAGGGGGAAAAAATTCCCAAACAATGGTGTGTGTTTGGAGCTTGGAAAAATGGGTCAGAAATAAGAGTGTTAATGCCTCTGCCTTCAGGGAAGGCAGAAAAGAGCAAGAGCAGGGAGAGCGGGCGAAGGAGCCCAGCAGGACCGCTGCCCCAGCAGCCAGCCCAGCTGAACGTGCAAATGCTGCCTGTCATTTAAAGCAATTAGCAGAAGTCTCAGAGGGGGAAGGTCTCTCACAGGGGTCAGGAACCAAATATGCAGCAAAACCCTGCTTTTCCCTGGCTTGTTTTGGATGTGAGTCCCCAGCACAGTGACACCCCGACCCAGCGAAGTCCCCGCCGGCGCTCACCTCAGCCAGCACGAAGAGGGGCTCGATGACATCCCTCTCCACCTGCAGCTCGAAGTGGATGAGCTCCTGAGCCAGCTTGTCCTCCGCCTCCCCGCACAGCCGCAGCATCTTTCTGCAAGGGCACGGCAGGGCTGGGCACCGCGGGCGCTGGGGGGGCGATGGGCAGCCACCCTGCGCCCCAAACCCCTGGAGGGGACAGCCCCTCCTTGGCAGATGGCTGGAGGGAGGGCAGCAGCCTGGGGACCGCGGCCACCCCAGGCGTTAGGAAAATCTCATTCCTTAACTATTGGACCAATTATAGTCTGAAACTGTATGGATTTTCTTAAGAGAGAGAGAGAGAGATATGATAGATAGATAGATAGATAGATAGATAGATAGATAGATAGATAGATAGATAGATAGATAGATAGATAGAAAGAAATATATAGTTTACACTGTATACTGTATGACTAAAGGACTCCAGCTCATCACAAGGAGGAGAAGAATAAAGGAAAGCCCTGGACAACTGAGATCACACGAACACCCCAGCCCGTCCAACACCCCGTTATCCAGCATCACAGATAAGGGACGGCTGCAGTTACAGCAGCCTCCTGGCATCCCAGCAGCCCCTGGCACGGCAGAGCGCCGGGGGGAGACCCAGGGCCCCCTTACCCCAGCAGGGAGTCGTCGCCCAGCACAGCCGATCCCTCCATCAAGCACTGGGCCAGCGTCGTCAGCGGCAGCTTCTTCTGCAAAGAGAGGGCTGCGTTTCCCACTCCGCCACCCCGCCGCTGCCGCCGCCCCTCAGAGCCCTGCCAAAGCCTCACCGAGCGCTTGTCGGCGTCCACGCCTTGCTGGCCCTGCAGACATGCCGTCAGCTTCTTGTGGGTGCTGTGGGAGACCTGCTTCACCAGCTCCAGGCGCTTCTCCACCTGCGGATGCAGTGGGGCCCATCACCGGGGTATCTGGCCTGATCCCGCACCCGCTGTCCAGCCACATAAGGGACTTCTTGCTTTTCAATCAAGTGGTTTTTAATTGCTGCTGCATTGGATGCGACAGCCCCAGAGCCCAACCCCTTCCCAGGACAGGGATGATTTAAGCAGAAGATTTCACCAGGCTGAGGCTGCCCCATCGCACCCCTGAGCAAGGCTGAGGGCTGGATCCAGACCAACCTCCAAAGCCCCTGTGTCCCCAGGCAAGGGCAGGAGGTGTCTGTCCCCAGCTGTCCCCAGCTGAGCCCTGCCACAAACCAAACTGCCCAGTACTCTAACCTGGGGCTGAAAATTACCTTATTTACCTCTGCATTGATTAAATCAAGCAATTCATCCCAAACCTCAGAAGATGAGTCATTAAATGTAAGCAACCAAGATCTGCTGAAAACCAAAGCTGAGAGACGTGAGGAAAACGTGGAAAGCTCAAAATCTTGGGAAATGATCTGGGGAAAAAAAATAATCCTCCCTGGCCGGGAGAAGCAGAACTGCTGAGCCTGCAGTGAGTCCGTGGGGCAGGAGGCATCTCACGGGAGCCTGGCACCCGAACTGAGCTGCCCTCCACCACTACAATATATAGTACTGGTAACATATACTATATATAATAATAACATAAAAATATATTATTTTTATATATTAAAAAAAAAAAATCTCCATGATGCTTGGCTGAGGCCTCTGCCATCCCTGCACCAGACATGCTCCTTGCAACACATATACAGACATGTGTGGAGAGATATATATATATATATATATATAAATTCTCTCTATAAAAATAACATACATTTAATATATATAAAAATGATCATGTATATGTTGCAAGAAAGGGGTAAGACATTCAGAAGGGCACATATGTGAATGCACACCCACCTAGATGAGCCAAACTGGAGGCAATTAGGTAAATGCAAGGAAGGGTTTGGACTCCCCCCAGCCCTGGAGACAGGCCCCCTCAAACATGACTGACTCTTCAGGAGATACCCAGACAAGGCTGCACCGACCACCATCCCCACTGAATTATCTCCAAAAGGTGTAAAAACCCCCTGAGCAGCGTTGCTGAAGCCAGGTCTGCCCTTGAGAGTGCCGGCACAGATGTACCTAGTGCCGGGATGTCACCGGAGGCTGTAAGAGCAGGGTCTGCCTCCCAGTTCCAAGGGGCCATGGGGACCTCAGAGCTTGCAAGGAGAAACACCAAAAATTAAAATAGAAAGAAAAAAAGTTTCATTATTGATGCTCCCCCTAGCTGCTGGTGGCAGGGAGCACTCAGCTCCCCTCCACTCCATCCTACCAGGACTGCCCATCCCCAACAGCGGGGCACATCACCCCTCGCCCTGCCCATCCCTGCCCTCAGCACTGGTGCTGAAGAAAGGACAAAAAACCCAAATCCCGAAGTCTGAAGACTGACTCGGAAGGGTGCAAACTGTGAGGGCAGCACCGCCCAACAGCAAACCAAACTACCAACCCCCCAGGAACCCATGCGGTGCCGGCACAACCAAAGCCCAACCTCACTCCCCCTGCACAGGCCGGGCTGGTCCCAGCCACGATGGGAACGGCTGCTAAATCCCCAGTAAAGCAGCAAAACGGCTGCTACATCCCCGGTAAAGCAGCAAGAAGCCATGGGAGGGATTAACCAAGGCAGGCGGCTGGGACGTTTGCAAATGCCTTCATTTCACTCTCTTCCAGCGTGGTTTCACCTTACCCCTTTAGCAATGGCCAACCCGAACCCTGCTCATGTTTTGGGCTAACACACAGCTCTGGACAAAGCCTGATATGTGCAGGAAGCAGTGGCACTAGGTCCAAGCGAGAGCAACACACAGGCAGGACACAGTGGCCAGAAAGAGCTAAAGGTCACTGTCACCTGCTGGGCGCTGCCTCCTGTCACCAGCAGCCCTGCACAGTGCTTCTCTGGCTGCTTCTGCAGAATCCACTACCTGACAGCAATGGCACCGACCAAACTGACAAGCAGGAAGGTGTAAATACATCAAACAAGTTTTGAAGTGGCCCCAACAGCACCTGGACTGGCTGATGCCAGGGAATGCCCACGCTGTGATGGAGGAGGAGCTGGGCAGCTGGTTTAGAATCCCAGAATCATCTCGGTTGGAGAAGACCCTGAAGCTCCTCCAGCCCAACCATGACCCTCACCCTGACCGTTCCCAACTCCACCAGATCCCTCAGCACTGGGTCAACCCGACTCTTCAACCCCTCCAGGGATGGGGACTCCCCCCCTGCTCTGGGCAGCCCATTCCAACACCCAACAGCCCCTTCTGCACAGAAATCCTTCCTCAGAGCCAGCCTGACCCTGCCCTGGGCAGCTTGAGGCCATTCCCTCGGGGCCTGGCGCTGAGGCCTTGGCTCCAGAGACTCATCCCCCCTCTCTGCCCCCTCCTGTCAGGGAGTTGCAGAGGGCCAGGAGGTCTCCCCTCAGCCTCCTCTTCTCCAGACTGAACCCCCCCAGTTCCCCCAGCCGCTCCCCAGCAGACCTGTGCTCCAGACCCTGCCCCAGCTCCGTTGCCCTTCTCTGGACACGCTCGAGTCATTCAATGGCCTTTTTGGGGTGAGGGGCCCAAAACTGAACCCAGGAATCGAGGTGCAGCCTCCCCAGTGCCGAGCACAGGGCTCAGATCCCTTCCCTGTCCCTGCTGGCCACGCTAGTGCTGACACAAGCCAGGATGCCATTGGCCTTCTTGGCCCCCTGGGCACACTGCTGGCTCCTGTTCAGCCGGCTGTCAGTCACCCCCCCAGGTCCCTCTCTGACTGGCAGCTCTCCAGCCACTCCTCCCCAAGCCCCTAGTGCTGCTGGGGGTTGTTGTGGGGGTTGTGTGTTTTGCTCATCAGTGCCCGAGTTACGAGTGATGATTTAGAGAATGTGTGAGTTAGAAACCTGTTAATTCAGTGATGGATTTGTGAATTCACGTCTCTTTGCTGTCACTTCCTCAGCCACCTCCCTCCCTGGGGTGTGCAAGAAGCAAAAAGCACCAAGATTCTTCCCAGAGGCCGTGACCCCAGCATCACAGCCGATGCTCCAGGAGGTTTTTGGCTCAGGCTGTTTTGCTGAAGTTGTTCGATCCATCAGCTTTGGGGAAAGCCTATCCCATCAGCTCTGGGGACCGTCCCCTGCTGTCACATGTCCCATCCCCAGGGCAGGTTTTGCAGCAGAGACGGGAGACACAGGCACCCGCAATCCGGCCAGGCCGTATCAGGTTGCCATCCTGGCAGAGACAGGACTGGATCCGATTCCAGCTGACCTGAAAATTGGGCTGGGAAAGGCCTGGGAAGGCGTGTGGGAGGGAGCCAATGCTGCTTCCCACGCTCCCAACCCCTTCTCCTCTTCCCAGCCCATCTCATGGCTGCGGGGCACCATGGCACCGACCGGTGTGGAGCTGCTGCTGCATCCAGCACCCATGGGTGCATGCCTGGGCACCCATGGGCATGCTGGGTGCAGGTCAGGCCAGCTGCAGAGGACCTCACCTGCAGGAGATCTTCACTCAAAACCTCCGTCTTCTCAGCCCTGAAAGACAAGGAAGAACATAAAGCGTTGGCGAAGGGTCTGGCACACACAGCTGCACCCTGCGGTCCTGGGCATGGCTGAAAGTGCTTTTCCATCAGGATGCAGCTGGTGATTTAAGGCTCTCTGGTCCCACCAGACATCGCCTCATCTCCTAAATAAGCAAAGGATGGAGCATCTTCATGGTTCACTGTAAGCGTGCCATGTCCCACATCAATTTAGGGTCCTTTCCTCATCTCCCCCTTATTTTTCCGTTATCCCCAGCAGAACAGGGGTGCTAGATTCCCAGGCAGATGCAGGCAGGGCCGTGCAGGGAGGCGGCGTGTCGACGCACAAAGGCAGCTCCCCGGGCCGTGCAGGGCTCTGGCACACCCTCAGCACCGCGGATTCCAAGGACACAACCCGTCCGCACCACTGAGCCTCTTTGGTCTGACGCAGCCAACTGTATCTGTGGTGGCAGCTTCTGCCCGGGGCTTCGCTGTAACCCTCCCCGCTGCACGTTGGAGCTGGATTTACCGCTCCAGAGCTCGTGTCTTCCGCTGTCTTTGCTAGCGAGGAGTGCTGGGGTGCAGAAAGAGACAGAACCCCTCTGCAAGACCGTCCCTGGCCACACACAGACCCGCAGCATCCCTGCCCGTGACACCCCCGCAGCTGTTCCTTGCCAGATCTGCTCAGGCTTATTTGAATGATCACACTCTGGATCATTTATTCATTTTATTAAGAGTTTTTTCCAACTTTAGTGCATCATCTTTCTTTGAAAAATGACCTCTGTCAAGATGCATTTAGGCAGAGTTGTGATTTAGCCAATTAGTCCCTGAAGGTTTGTTAACAAACAACAAAAGCTTGGTGCTCTCATTCTTCTTAAGAAAACACCTTTATTGCCTAAGCCCTGGTTGCTTTCTGCTATCCAAGCTGGTTTCGTAGCTTTGAGAGACAGAGTGAAGTATTGAAAAACTGGAAATGAGGAATAAGCTCCAGCAAAAGAAGGTTCAAAGAGTGAGCCTGGCACGGCAGCAGTGCCTGCCAGGGCAGGGCTTAGTCTATGGGCTCATCTGCAAATACATCATGTCCAAAAACTTAAAAAATGTAAATTAACTGCATTAAATCCGGTTTGTGTATGAAATCTATCCCAGTGTCCGATTTAAGTTGGTTTGAAAAAAGGAAAAAAAACCCAAATTATTTAATTTTTTTTAAAGACTAGATTTAAATGAATGCATATCTTCTGTATGAAACAAGCGATGCGCTGGCTGCCTGGGAGCAAGGGCTGCTCTGGTCCTCCCCCTCTTCTGCAAATAACCTTCAATATAATTTATGTACAGGGTTGGAAATGCCGCAGAATTAGCACAAACAGGGAAGAAAGCAGCAAATATCCATCGTCCCCACTTCCCTGCACCCGCTCGGGCTATATTTAGCATCCCAAAGGAGAAGGAGGTGGCAGGGATGCGGGCGAGCATCACGCACCCACGTGAGGCACCAGCAGTGCACACCCCTGCCTCTCACACTGCACCCCAGAAATCATTTCCAAACTTCAAAAAAAGGCCGGGGAGAAATAAGTCCTGCCTGTCCTTGCACCACTGGGAAAACGCTCCACAAAAAGTGATGTTTTTAGTGTATTTTTTCCTCTTCCAGCTGTGCTGCTGGTGGATTTTGCGTACCCCACAGTCCCGTGCTGGCAGGTCTCTCTCCCAGCAGCGACAAACCAACACGTGCTGCACTTTGATGTGCATTCAGGAAGCAGAAAATGATGTTTCAGTCAGGGTAACAAAAATCTGGCCTCGTTCTGCTATTAAGTATATCCTCAGCGTGAGAAACCTCAGTGGCTTTAACAGAGAGCATCCCCCAGCCACAGTGCCGGCACAGACACCCGCGCCAGCCCTGCCACTTCCCAGGATGCTTAAGCAGGTTGGGGAGCCTGCCAGCAATTAATTTGGCTTTAGAAAGGGAGGGAAAAAAAGCTGCAGCATTTTATGGATAGGAATAAGCAAAGTGGCTGTTGGAGCTGCTTGACGCAGCTGGCCTAGGCTGTGGCAGAGCAATGGGCACGCCGCGGGAGCATGGGGTTCCCCACCTGGTTTTGGCATCGGTGGGAGCTGGGATGCTTTCTCCTCCCCTCCAGACTGCGATGGGGATGGGGGTCTCTGCGTGGCCTCGGAGACATGCTGCAGCCACTCGTGGTGGCACAGGCACGTGGCAGGGCTGTGGCGGTGGGAGCCAGGTACCATGTCCTGCCAGAACCCAGCGCCAGCATCCAGAGCTGCTCCCGCGCCTCATCTGGCAGAACGGGGCCCCAGAAGCCACCATGGGGCGATTTTGCAAAGCCAAAGCAGGAGAGAAGTGTCCTGTCTTAGGGTACCTGGACCCTATGGGTGAGGCCACCAGCAGCCACGTAGGAGAGCCTGGCCCCGCACAGGTACTGGGGCAGCAACGCAGCTGCAGCTCCATCAAAGCAGTTCAGCAGCTGCAGGAGGGACAGACCCTGCTCCTGCACACACGCACAGTCCTGCTAACAACACGGCTCTGATGTCCTGTCACCCCGCCTGAAGCTCCTTATTAATATTCCAGAATGCACCAGAAATATACAAGTGATTCCCCTTGTCTGTCCTGCCAGCAGCACTCCAGAACCTGCAAATAATATCCAGGGCAGCAAGAAGCAAGCGGCTCCTCCAAACCCACAGAAAGCCCTGCCCAAGCCGCTCCATGTGGCCATTTTACATGTAAAGGCTAAAAAATAACATCATCCCGCTCCCCTGACACTGCAATTGCATTACAGCTCCACGCTGCTAATGCCACTGGGAAAAATCCCATTATATCTGTTATGTTTCTAAAGTCTCAGCCTAAAGTTAATACGGTTTTACAGGAGCTTATATGGTTTTGTGAGCCATCCTGCAAACCTGCCACAACCAATGCTCGGCGGCAAACTGCAGGCACACGTCCTGCCTGTCTGTGCTGGAGACCCTCCTGCACACCCTGGGCTCCCTCCTGCCTGGGGGGTATTTTTTGGGTGCTGAGCCCTTGCCAGCACTCAGAGTTGCTCAAGCAGACCCTGGTGCCCCAGTATCATCTCCCTGGTACCCAGGAATTTCCCCAGGGCACCCAGAGCAATGGAAAAACACTATCCTGCTGCCTTTTCTGGGAACGGGATGGCAGCATCTCTCTGAGGACCTTGGCAAAGCATCTTCAGCAGGCTCAGCCCTGAGCATTTCTGCCCAACCCTTCCTTTTCAACAAACCTTTCTGGTTTCTTCTCCCTCCCCACATCATGCTCCAGTCAGCATCCCACTTGAGGATGTGTGTGGGTTCCCGGGCCTCCCCTCTGGCCTTGGCTTCCCATCCCCGGGGAGAACTGCCCGTCGGTTCCCCCAGGAGTCAGGAGCCCCAGCTACCGGATTGCTCTCAAGTGCTTAGTTCAGACCACGTGGAACTTTGGACCCCAAAACACAAAGGTGTTTTGAAAACTGCAGCCCTACAGAAATCCATTAGCAGCACCAAGAGGAACAAGTTTGGATGTGACCACTGCTGGGAAGCGTGTCTGGCTCCAGCAGAGATGCTCTCCCTGATCCAGCCTGGCATCTTGCTCCCATCCAAGGAATCCCCCAGCCCTTCCTGACATGCCCCAGTCCATCCCCAGCATGCCCCCAGTCCATTCCCAGCATCCCTCAGTTCCTCCCCAGCATCCCCCAGCCCTTCCTCACATGTCCCAGTCCATCCCCAATATCCCCCCAGCCCATCCCCAGCATCATCCAGCACCTTCTGCCATCCCCCAGCCCCTCCCAGCACCCCCAGTCCACCCTAGCACCCCTCCTTGCCCCATTGCTGCCCCCGTATAAGCAGCCAGAGATGTAGAGCTCAGCCTCTGCCATAGCAGTGACAGGGACCCCGGGATCTGCTCCCTGCCTGTGCTGCTCCAGCCGTGCTCAGGAGGCAGCTGAGCTCCTGCCAGCACAAACCTGTGTCCCTCCCCAGTCACCTCTTCTTCCTCGTGCCTTGGCAGGGTTCAGGACCCATCTGTGCTCACCCCATAACCCCAGACCCATGAACAACGCTCAAGGGTCTGACACATGGAGCAGAGCCCTGGGAAGGGGCTATCTGGTGGCTGGAGCATCCCATGGCCCAACCATCAGAGCAGGCAACTGGTGGCACTAGAAAAAACAGTTTAAGCCAGTATCAGCTTTGGAAGTCTTTTCAACAGTTAATTTTCACGTGGGTATTTCCATCCTTGTGTCTCACAAGGCAGATGCAGCCAGGGCCCCTGTGCTGGGACACGACCTCTCCCAGGGAACTGGAGATGGTGGTTTTCGCTTGATTGCTGTTGATTCTTGCTCATGCAAGGTGGCCTCAGCAAACAACAGCACCCAAATTGGGGTGCAGGGACCCCCGCCAGTTTCCCTGGCTGGTCTCTAGTCCCCCAAAACTTCATGTCTTGCAAATTACACGCATCCTGCAGGAGCAATCTTTGGAGAGGCAGCCAGGATTACCGGTGTTCATCACTTGCTTTCATCTTTCCTTTAGGCAAATAAAAGCCCACTCCTCCCCTTCCCCTCCAGATTTTCACCCAGAGCTGTTTTTCTCAGCACAAATCCAGGCAATCCTCAGCCTCAGTCAGCACCCAGACACCCGCGTCCCTGCAAACAGCTGGGAGAAAAGGGACAATTAATATGGAGAGTAAAAAGCAAACAAGAGGGGAATGCAGCTACGATTTGGTCAGGTGTTCACTTCTGCAAAATATACTTGCTGCCAGCAGAAATCAACACCAATCAAGCCAATTAAGTTGATTTCCAAATAAATACTACATGAGCTTCCAGTGCCTTGACCCGGGGAGCTACAGCAAAGCTGGTGCTTCCCTCGAGCATCTCCTGATGCCAGACATCTCCATCTGGCTGGACCATCCACCACCAGCACCCACTCCCTGTCCCCGCCACTGTCCCCCTCCAATGCACCCAAAACAAGGAGCCCCCATCCTTGGATTTGACCCTGAACCAGCAAAACTCAAAGCAGGATGGGGATTTCGCAGGACTCTCTCTCTGAACAGGAAAACCATCACGCCCAGCCGGCGGGCAGCGCCTCAGGCGGCGCGGGGACAGGCAGGAGCCAGGATGCATGTCCGGAGGCAGCGCATGTCCACGATGCCCCGAGGACCCCCTTGCTCACACCTCCTGCCAAAACACCCGTCTCACCCCATCCCTGGTTGCCCCCTTGCTACAGTATGCCTGTAAATATTTCATCACTGTTTAATTACTGATAACAGCCAGTTCCCCTCATTTCTGTTTGTTCTGGCTTAAAAATAGCCTCATGGCTGAGCGCAGGCTCACGAGGGAGGCACGAAAACCCAGCCAAGGCCATCCCATGCCGGCAGCGGTAACTCCCATATCTGGGCCTGCCCTGCCATCCCATGTGGCCTCGGGGACAGTGCCCGGCTCCATCCCAGTCCTGCCTGCATCTCCCTCTGGTGACGCAGCACATGCCTGGGGGCTGGCACTCACCAGAAAATTCAAGGTGCCGGAGCCCTCCCAGCTCAGAGGTGAGGTTGTCAAGGTGAGGTTCAACCATGCAACTTAGATAAGGTGCTGAGCATCCATCACTTGTGCTGGAGGGAGGAGAAAGCCCCTTGGGTCTCATCCAGGCAACCCCTGGAGGTGCTGGGTATCGTGGTCCAGGCTGGCTGCTGGCCCAAGGACCGCCCCGTCCCCAGCTTCTGCCGCTGTCTGAGCTCTCCTCACCACTCTGCATCCCCGGGGAATCGCAGCCCGACGGCTTGTCACTAGCATCCGGCCAAGGCCAAACAGAGCTGCGGATTTTTCCTGGTGCCTTTTTAGCAGGCGAGAAGCGAAACATCAAATATTTATATCCTCAAATCGCTGCTCACATCCCCCAGGGAGACGACTCCGAGGCACAATATCCAGCCAGACACAGTGAGACGGCCCTGCCAGTGCCTCCTCCAGCGCAGCCCGGGCTCATCCTGCCCTGCCAGGTGACCCACAGTGACAGTCCCCATGTCCCAAACCTGTGGCTAAGGGCTGCGATGCCCACCCTGCAGGCACAGTGCCAGGGCTTAACTCACAGCAGCTCGACAGCCTTCAGCTAAGCCAAGCTGGAAAAGCAGGGTGAAATGAGCAGGGAAGGCTGGTCCAGCTTTCCTCCATCCTTCTGCCCATCGCTGGGAAAACCAAAGGAATCAAAGCAAAACGGGGGATGGATTTTAAAGGCAGAAAAGCCTCTTTTCCTCATTTCCTGACCCTCTCCCAGCTGTGAGCTCTCTGCAACAGCATCCCTTAGGCACGGGGTGCATGGGGCCCTTTGCTCCTCGCTCCCAGCTCATCCCCGGCAGAGGAACCTCTGGGGCCGCATCCTGACCACGCTTGGGTCCTGATTTGAGAATCATGGAGAAGCCCCTGCAAAGCGCAGGGCCCTGAGACTGCTGGCCGCAGGGATGAAACCTTCAGCCCGCTCCATGAATATTTCAGTTTGTCAGCGCTGCCGCCTTGCGAGAACGATAAAAATATCCCCAGGGCTGCGGGGATGCTGCCGGCACCATCCGAGGGGCGCGGCACCGCTCGGCAAAGCCAAAAAGCCCGGGGGGTGGAGATGTCGGCTGATGGCGAGCCACTGGCACCCCAAAATGCAGACATGGAGCCCAGTTATTTAAAGCGTGTTGTTCTTCCCTGAAAATCCCATCAGAAAAATCCCAGGTGATGCTTTTATTCCTCTGTCCTTATTTTGTACAAGCAGAATAAAATGTCCTTATTTCATGGAGAATATTCTTGCTGCACAGAGAATAAACCCTCAGTGTTTCAAGGCTTTATTTTACATGCAGACGTCCTGGTGCTTGGAAAAGCATCTGCCCTGAGAGCCACCAAAGCCATGTCCGGCCCAAAACACCACCGCTGTCCCCCAGGATGGGGGATACATCTTGGGATGCTCAGAAAGGACTAGGAGGAAAAATCCAACGCCCCTAAGCTGACACCATCCCCCCCGGTGCCCCCCCCATCACCTGCCGTGCCATTCGGGAACACCACCACGCTATTCTGCACGCGGCTGCAAGCGTCTACTTCATTCCCGATGAAAAAAAACCATATTGAGCCAATTCTGGAAAATTCACAGGGCTGTTTCGGCCCCCGGAGTGAGTGCTGTGGCACGCTTGTGCCCATCATCCTGTGACCTCAAGGTGAGGGTGAGAGCTCTTGCCGGCTTGGCCACTGATGGAAAGGGTAAATAAATAGAAATAAAAAATAGAAGTGTTTTGCAGAGACCATCTTCAAAATGTTTTACAGCCACTCACTGATTTCTCTTCCCTTTTTCCACCCCTTGGAGATAAATATTATGGCCCCTTACAGACTGGGCACAGCAATTCTCCCAAAGGTACCAAGTGCAGGTCTGGGCTGGGACGAGCATCCCCAGTTCCTTCTATCTAGTGAACTGACCTCAACAGAATAGAATGGAATGGAATGGAATGGAATAGAATAGAATAGAATAGAATAGAATAGAATAGAATAGAATAGAATAGAATAGAATAGAATAGAATAGAATAGAATAGAATAGAATAGAATAGAATAGAATAGAATAGAATAGAATAGATGTGCTCAGGAGCGTGGTCTGCTCTGGGTGGCCCGTCACACTCCCAGACCGGGCATCCCAGTGCTGGTGGGTGCTGCTGCTCTCCCCAGGGCCCAGGAGTCCCCACTCGCCCCCAGTGTCCCACGTGGAGCAGCAAGGGAACACGGCAGCACCCGGGAGACAGAGTTGGAGGCCAGATTTGGAAAGGTAAGGAAAGGTACTCAGCACCTTCAGCAGACCCTGACCTGATCCTGCCCCTAACCTTGACCATAACGCTAATCCTGCCCCTAACCCTTACGCAGACTTTGACACTAACCTTAAGCCAAACTCTAACACTGATCCTGCCTTGACTCTGACCCTTCCCTCATTCCTAACCCTGATTCTGATCCTTATCCTGATCCTAACCTTGACCCTAACACTAATCCTGACCTTGACACTAACCTCAACCCTGACTAACCCTGCCACCACTCCTGCTCCTGACCCTAACCCTGACTCTCAGCCTAACCTTAGCCCTAACCCTGACCCCGATCCTGACCCTAATCTTGACCCCATTCCTAACATTAACCCTGACCCTGACCCGGCCCAGCCCTCCCACCGTGCAGGGGAGCCCCGTCCCTCGTCCCTCGGCTGCAGTTGGCCACACGCTCCCCCCGCACGAGTGCCAGCTGCGGCCACCTCACAGGGGCAGGGTCCTACCTGCTTGTCCCCTGCCAGGGTACTTCTGGCAGCTCCTGGCAGACCCACAGATGGGGTTTTCCCTTTGGCTGCCTTTTCTCTTTCCTTTTTTTAAGGAACTTGCACCACCAAAAGCCACCAGAGGCTGGGCCCCCCTGCATTGCATCTCCTTCTGCACACTCGCCGGTGGCTGGGGAGATGTCACTGCAGTCCCCAGTCCTGTGGGACACAGCCCTGGCCCAGCCCCCCGTGTTGGTGGGGGGAGCGCAGGCCCCCCCGCAGCAGCGGGATCTTCTGGGTCAGGTACTGCTGGGAGGAGTGACGCCAGCTGGGTGCCACCGCTGCCACTGCCACATGCAAACTGTCCCCAACACACCCTGTCTCCCCCCGAGGGACAACCTCCACGTGCAGCGCAGACCCCAGCCCCGGGGCAGCATCTGGCCTGGTGGTCCCCAGCCCTGGATGCAGGGGGCTGGCACTGCAGGGTGATGGTGACCCACTGGGGTTGGTGAGGAGCAGGAGGGGACAACCCTCAGACCCCAGAGGGTTACAGTGAATGTACCCTGGCAAGCCTCTCCCAGGGGAGAGAAAACACCAGGTTTCTATTATTATTCCTTATTTCCACTTATTATTCCTTATTTCCACTCATTATTCCTTATTGACATTTATTATTCCTCATTTCCATTAATTATTCCTTATTTCCATGTATTATTCCTTATTTCCATTCATTATTCCCTATTTCCTTTTATTATTCTCTATTCCCATCTATTATTCCCTATTTCCATCTATTTTTCCCTGTTTCCAGCTAGCTGAAGAGGCTCTGAGCAGTGGGCAAGAGGAATAAAACACCAGCCCACACTTGAGATGGGGACCAACAGAGCTGGGCAGAGGAAGAGGACAGTCCCAGCCATCCCATCCCAGCGCTGAGCAAAGAGGGGGCCACGCACGCCCCGGTTAAACCCAGCCTAAAGAGCCTGGCAGCGCAGGCAGCTCTGCAAGCAGCAGACGTGCCGGGATACCGATGGAGCCCGCCAGCTGCCCGTCACGAGCCGGCGTGGCAGCCAGCCCCTAAGAGGATTAGGGGTTTAGCAGCTCCAAACCCCGCGGCCACCGGCCCCGCGGCCCAGGCTGCCAGGCGGGTGCTGCGGGGAGCCCGGCATGGCCTCGCGCTCCCAGGGGATGCGGGAAGAAGGATGCTCGCCTTGTCGGCGGCACCATTTTGAAGGCAGGCGTGGGTGCGGTGCCCGGCTCACGTCTCCCATGCGGTGGTGGCAGGACCTGGGGACACCCCTCCCCGGCAGCCCCCCAGCTGCGGGTGGGAGACGTGTCAAACCTCCTCGGTGCCTCCAGAGAGCAAACCTGGCCCAGCAGAGATGTGAGGAGAAAATCACACGCTCTGTCCCCAAAACAGCCTCTTCCTGCCGCTTCCTCAAGGCAGGCAAGCGCTCCCACACTGCATTCCCTGTCCCACGTTCCCGTGTTCCCACACTGCGCTCCCACAACACATCCCTGGACTGTGCTCCTGCTCCGTGCTCCCACGCCGTGTTCCCACACCGTGCTCCCGCACCACCTTCCCGCACTCTTTCTGCGCCACCTTCCCGCGTTACGCTCTTGCCGCGCGCTCCCGCACCGCGCTCCCACACCTCGCACCTGCATCAGATTCCCGTGCTGTGCTCCCACACCAGATTCTGGTACCACGCTCCCTCACCACCTTCCCACACCGTGTTCTTGCGCCAGGGTCCTGCCGCCGTGCTCCCGCACTGCCGCACGCTCCTCCTGCACCGCTTGCTCCTGGCCCGTCTTCCCACATGGTGCTCCTGTACCATGTTCCCACGCCAGATTCCCGCAGCACGCTCCCACACCGTGTCCCCACACCGCATTCTTGCCCCGTGCTCCCGCACCGCTGCCGCCGCAGCAGGATGGGGCCCTGCTGCCAGCCCAGCCCCATGCCCGTACGCTGGGGCTGCACAGCAGCACTGGGGCCGAGGCAGGAGCCGTCGCCACCAGCCACCTCTGAGGACCCAGAGCTGGCGGGGCGTCCCCCATCGCCACAGGGGACATGGTGAGGGGCGAGCAGGATGCCAGCCGAAGTCCAAGCCCTCAGCTCCGGGAGGGGGTACTGAGCCCCA